TAGATGATGTAATTTTGTGGAACGTATTTGTAGGTTGAGTCTAATGGATTTGGTCCTTTGCAAATTTTAACAAACCCAACCTAAACAAAACTAACCCAAAATTAATTTAAATATTACTAGATTAATTGACAGAAGGAACAGCAAGGTGCTTCTTACAGAGCAGTTTTAACAAATTTTTGTTACATGGCCTTAGTTGGCCAATTAGATGAGATCAACTTTTTTTTCAAAATAATATCTTTTGTTTGTTTTGTGATAACCTTAGAAGAAATTGAGAACTGTATCTCCTATTAATTGTGAGAGGAAATAAAAATAAATTATTGTTGGACATTTAGTTTTAAGGCTACATCTGAAAGAACTCCTTTAGAAATAATCTCTTTGGTGATTTCATGTTAGCTTTTCAAAATAAAATCAATTTTGAAGTGAAATCTCACAGGAGATGTTAAGTCAGTGGAAACATTTTTTTGTTGTAGGATGTTGTTTTTAAGAGATGCCCCAAAGCTCACAGTATTCCTCATTTTTTCACCATCAGGATCTCAGAACCACAGGAAGCCCCTAAAAATCACCATCTTCCTTTCTATTTAGATTATAATCCTAGATATCTCATGATAGCAGTGTCTGTGTTTATACCTTAAATTTTTATTGCAGGTAAATTGTTTCAGTAAATTTTTGAGGTGATAAACTAATAATGCCTTAATATCATAGACTTATGTATGAACATTAGATATTATCATTGAGGTCTGGGGCTAATCCAGTTTATACTCCACCCTTCCAGTTTCTAGTTGAGATGGAGAAAGTGGTCAATTTAGAGAAGAAAATTAATGGTCTTGTTGAACTTTCAAAAAAAAAAAATTATTTCAGCAATTATTGGGAAGAGCTATTAAGATTCATACCCATCTCAAGACTTAACAAAGGACAACAAATCTCAGTTGTATAAAATGAGCCATTAGGATTCTAGACATAGGCAATTATAATTTGGATAAAAAAGAAAAGGAAGATATTAATCCAGATTTCATACCTGAAGGAAAGAGAGGTATGAGGATATTGTGAGGGAGCAGTAAGTAATCATCTCAAAAAGAACAAAAAGACAGAAGAAACAAATATTTAGGCTCTAGTACATTTATTCAACATTTTGTTACTATATGCCAGTCATTGGTCAACCTGTTGCTATTTTAAGACCAATCAGTTCTTAGTATTTGGAATTCTAAAGAGATGAATTTACCTTTCTCTTAGATTCTATGTCTACTCAGGAAACATATCTTATTACTTCTAATAAATATTCCAGTAACTCTGCAGTAATTTCTGGACACTACAGATTTGGGCATATGTGAGTTATGAAAAGCAGTTATGAATTCTAATTTAGTGTTGAGATGAGTCTTTTGTGGCTCATTATGCTATATTGGTATTCTTCACAGTAGTCAATTTTTTGTAGCTCAACTGGACACTGTTGGTGCTACTTTGATATTTAATGTCAGGGTAGCAGAGAGTTACATTTAAAAAAAGAAAAATTGCCACAGTGGAAACAAAGTACTATTGTTTAAAAGGAATTGTTTTATATTGTGACTGTAGCTAATGCTTTGTTTTTCCTTATTCATAAGGCACCAAGGACAGTTAAAAGATTTTTTTTTTTTTAAATTCATTCTTCGACCCGTGGTATGGACTCCAAGCCATCCTTCAAAGACATTTTGATATTTATCTCTTTAAAGGTCTCAAGGGAAGGAAAATCTATAAGCTACCTTGGTGACCCCTCTTAATGTGGAACAGCCTTCATACATTTATACAAGAAAGACTGAAGGAAAGTCCAGTTTGACATAAAAATCATCATTTACAGTGGGTCACTCTGAGAATGAGGGGATGACTGCACATTTCTTTCCTTATGGAGAAGATGAATGACCTCTCACAGCCTTAGCTTTCCCTTATGTTCTACCTGAAATCATTACGATCCTGTGAATGTAAAATGAAAAGAGATCAAGAAGAGCTGTCAGGCAATGCATGTAATTTTGGGAAAATGAGAGATTGAGAGAAACTCCTGAATACCCTCCTCTTCTCCCCCTTCCCCTCCCCCATAGCATTCTTTCTGACTTTCCTCTGGTCACATCTATTTCTCCCAACTCGTTTCTCCCAAGCACCTGTCAACCCAGCTTAGGTCATGACAAGTCATGACATTCAGGTGCAGAACTCTCTGTGACAGAAAAGAGAAGATTAAAAACAAACAAACAAACAAACAAAAAAACCTGACTTAAAGTGAAAGAGGCTGGGCTAGGCCTAAAATCTGGAGTGTTTGTCACAACCCTAACTCGGAAACTGATGCACTGGGGGTAGATGGACAGGTGGTGGATGAAGGGAATGTATTTTGAAGAAGAAGCATGGAAAATAGACTCCTGACCCTCTTTGTAACATTAAGGCCTTGCTCTGTTAGGTTTCAGGGATAATCTGTGTTCCCTTGGCCACACATACCATAGTTTGGGCTTTAAAGAAAACAAGAAAAAGCAACCAAAGCAGGAGTTACATTTTAATAAGATGATAATTTTGAACTACTTTCCCCAGAGATGGTCTAATTCAAAAGTTTTGTGGATATGATGCTATTTTAATGAAACCAACATGAGAAATGCATCATATTACTACATAATCAAGCTGTGATAATGTTTCCATTGGATATTACATCAGTGTTCTGTGATCTGCCCTGATTCCAGATGAAATTTAGGTGTCGACTACAGACTATAAAGTCCAAAATTATCTGGATCTTGGTTACCTTATTCTCCCCTAATGTGACAACATTATAAATTTAGACTTCTGGTACATTCTTGCTGCTAGTTTTCAGATTACATACATTGATAGGAATTGGAGAATATAACTTGTTTTAGATGCGTGCATCCTTGCTTAGGGAATTATATTTTTTTGGAGGGGGGTGGTGAGGGGAAAGGACAGAGTGAACTTAAAAATATTATAAATAGCATCTATTGACATTGGCTTCCTTTGAGAGAGGACATTTTATTTTGAAATGTTAAATATTTATATTATTTAAAATAACTGGTTGCTTTTAAATCTCAAATATTGTTTTGCATGTATAATGTGTACTTAAATTGTATGGAGTTAAATTTATGTTATAAAAGAATGCAATTCTGGCTTAGGTCTAGAAGTGTGTTACAGACTAAATGTTAGTATCCCCTCAAAAGTCATAGGTTGAAGCCTTAGCCCTGAATGTGTTGGTATTCAGAGGTGGGGCCTTTGGGAGATAATTAGGTATAGATGAAGTCATGAGTGGGGCTGTTAGATGAGATTAGAGAGACCACAGCTCTTTCTTTCTTTCTGCCATATGAGAACTCAGAAAGAATGCAGCTTTCTACAAGCCAGAAAGAGGGCTCTCACCAGGAACTAAATCTGCCAGCATCTTGATCATGAACTGCTTAGACTCCAGAACTTTGAGAAATAAATGCCTGTTATATAAGTCATCCAGTTTATGGTATTTTGTTATAGCAGCCAGAATTAACTAAGACAGGATGGGAATATCAAAATGATTCTAATATATACAATATTTCTCCTTTAACTTTTATGAAATGTACCATTGAACTTTCCAGCTACCTTTTGTAAATCCCTTGCTGTCATGCTGGTGGCTTCACAAAGTATCCATTCCTTAAAATCTGTACTTTGGAATTTGCCTGCTTATTAATTCATAGCCAAAAATTTTTGTCATTTATTGCTACATCCTACTCCCTCTTTACCTATGACTTGATGATTACAGAAGTCTTCTACTTGGATCTCTACTTCCACTCTAGCTCTATTCCAATTCATTTTATTCACAATGGTTAACATCATCTCTTCTTTTACATTAATAGGTTTATTTTTTTAAAGCAGTTTTACATTTATAGAAACACTGAGTGGAAAGTACAGAGTTTCCATGTACCTCCCTGACCCCAATAGTTTTCTCCATTATTAACATCTTGCATTTTTAGGCTGTACTTGTTACAATTGATAAGCCACAATTGATACACTATTAATAACTAAAATCTATATTTTATATTAGGATTCACTCTTCATATTGTACATTCTTTGAGTTTTGGCGAGTACATAGTGACATGTACCCACCATTAGAGTATCATATAGAATAGTTTAACTGCCCCCAAATTCCTCTGTGCTATGTTGATTTATCCCTCCCTCTCCCTACCCTGTGGCAACCACTGATCTCATACCCTTTTAACTAATCTAAGAATGAAAGTAATATTTTAACACATTGTTTCATACTTTATCTGTTTATGTTGTAGAACAAATTAAATCTGATATTGTTAATAGTATAAACTCCTAGAGAAATAGTGTTGTTTTCTTTTTTAATATGAAACTATTTTGAGGATTTGAAGAATGTTAAGGACCCTTACCCTGTAATCACTGACATCCACCCTATCACGTAGTTCCAAATAAACTTCCCAGGCTTCATGGGCACTCTGAAGCCATGCTAAGAACCCTTGTCCTAAAGAGAGAACAATTTCTGTGTAGTTCTTCAGCATATGGAATAAAGGACTAACTAAATTTCTTTCAATATTAACTAAAATTAATGTGCAAAGAGAAAAACTTTACACCATCTTATGTGGAAAAAAAATAGTAGAAAGTACTATTGGATGTAAAGAAACAGAATTCAATGTTAGAACAAATTCAATGAACATATTTTTTCTCTGGTGTCTGGAGATTATTCTAGCAGAGGTTTGAATTTTTCAGATAGTCCAAACGCTCAGATTGTGAAAAGTAGTTCTCATTCTGTGTTAGTGAAAGTCATTTCAATCTGTGCTGTTTCTCATTTGCAGTTTTTTCTTTTTCACTTTCACTGTTCTAATTCTTTTAACCTATTCAGTTTTTTAAATGAATTATTCCTTCTCCAAATATGAGATTATTCCAAAAAGAATAATATTTACTGCTAAGATACTTGAATTTATGGGAATTATAGGACTGCAGACCAAGAAAACCCTTATATGATAATGTTAATTTTCTTTGCTTGCCCCTCTCTCCACCAGATCCCCAACAGGTTCCACAGCAGATTGGGGAGAGGTCCTCAGCTCCATGGCCCCTCTCACAGCCACAGTCTGCTCTCTGGAATTTGCAAAGGAGGCCTGAGGGCTCCATGGACTCCTGGATTTCAGCAAGGCCTCTAAGCTCTGTGTGTTCCTGATGCATGTACCTCCGTAAAATGGACTTAAGAGGAAGGAGCCCAGAGAGCTCAGTCTTCTTGCTGGTAAGACAACCTCTGTCTATTCACCTCATCGCTACAACTATCTAAGACAATAATTCTTTACAAGTGCTATATGAACAACTGCTTAGCCTTTTTTAAAAAAAGAAAGCATCAGGACAAATCCCATTATACTTTATACACTCCTCTTTATCTAAGTCACCTTCAGAAGCCCCAAAATCTCAGCTCATAGTTTATCACCTGGGCTAATGCTCTGTAAGCTTTAAATATCTTCTACTATGACCACATTGTGTGCTTACACCCCATACTCCAAACTTTTTCACTGTGTTCACCGTTTATCACCAAAATCTAAAATTCTGGTTACCTTTAATATCCCCATCATTTCCTTTACCCTTTCTCTTTAATTGAAAGTTGGTCATCCTTGAGGACAATAATTCTCTTCTAGTTCTCTCTACTGGTGGCTTTTTTAATATCTCATATTCCATGTAAAATGGAGCCTGAAGATAAGTGTCCTCCCGTTATCCCTTCTAGACCACTGTCTCTCCCTCCTCCCTCCAAAAGACAGATTCTCTGAAGTGTATTCCTTCTTGACAATGTACAATGCACTGCCCCTCCCCACCTTCACTGAAGCTCTGAGCATCTAGATTACTGTCTTCATTCTTGGTGACGACAGTATTCATGTGGGTGGTCACACTCAACACCTCTGAGCTCCTTGACCTCACTTTTCCTGGCCACATTATAGTCCATGTCACATGCTAGAGTTTGTCATTATGAAGAAGTGCCCCACCTTCAAAATATAGACTTCCAGCATTCTACTCCTTAACCAACTGTATTAGTTTCTTATTGATACTCTAATGTCTTAAACAACGGAATTGTTTTATCTTAAAATTCTGAAGGTAAGGTCTCTAAAATGGGTCTTACAGGCTAAAATCAAGGTATCAGCAGAACAGCATTCCTTCTGGAAGCTCTAGGGGAGAGTACGTTTTCTTGCTTTTTCCAGCTTCTAGAGGCCACCTACTTGCCTTGGCTTGTGATCCTTTCAAATCTCTCTGACACTGACCCTCTGTTTCTGTCATCACATTTCCTTTTTCTGTCTCTGATTCTCCTGCCTTCCCGTTGTTCCCCTCGTAAGATCCCTGTGATTATCTTCTGCCCACCTGGTAACCCAGGAAAATTTTCAGATTTCAAGATCTTTAACATAATCACATGTGCAGAGTCCCATTTGCCATATAAAGTAACATTCACGGGTTCGGGGGATTAGGATATGGATAGCTCCAGTGGGTCACTATTCTCTACCGAATATTATATTTCCAGGTCACTTACCAGTTTCATTTCCAACATTATTTGATTACATTTGGGTCTAATTCATTTACTATACTTATTCCTTATCTATTGCTGTCTTAATGGACTTGCTTTTCTCTTTATTCAATTTATATTTTATAGTCCTTTATGTCCTTTACTACAGTTACTCCCTTGCAGATATACTCAACACTCCTCCCACCTTCCTCCTACCCACACTTGCCTTCTGTAGCACTTATCAGGTTGTTTACTGGTTAAATCCAGCCAACTTTCTGCCTACTTACTTTTCACCTGCACCTTAGCAGCAGAATGTGGCTGGAGTTAAAAACATGTTAGGAAGATCCTTCTTATCCCCTTTCTCCTGTTTCCTCCTGTGGGGAGCAATGGGGATGGGGAAGTTTTAATAATATACCCATCCTGTCACTATCCTTGCATTCACTCTGCACTGGTGTAGGTGTGACTTTACCTACTTGGGAGATTGAAAGGGCATTGAGAGAATCTACCTTGTCCTCCTTGGGATCCCGCTGCCTGCAGGAAGTGTGAGTTCCCCCTGCTCTGTGATATGCTGCTGTGAGAGGGGTCCGACCTATGGTTGCCTGGAGTTTTCCAACACTGACTATAACTGGGTTAGCAGGTCTGTCTAATTGTGGACTTCAGTATTAGGAAGTCCACTTGCTTACATATATCAGACACATTTTCCAAAATCAGTGTTGTAAACAAAAAAGGTGACATTTGGTTTCCTATTTGCCTTTTCTGATCTTTTTTTCTCAATTGAAACAGAACTTGAGTGTATTATTTATTGCATGTCCCCAAACTCTGATCATTCTATTTAGAGTAGCTCCCTTTTACCCTCTGTTCCCTTGCTCTGCTTTGTTTTTCTTTAAATAATTACCAGTACTGATATAATGTTTTTATTTGTTCTCTGTTGCTTCTGCTAAATGTAAACTCCATAAAGGTAAGATATTTGTTTTAGTTCCTGGAACAATGCTCAGTTCACAATGTATATTTTCTGAATTATTATTTAAAGAAAGAATGTGAAAACATTTTAAGTATCATCTGAAGATTCAATTTAGACACTTGTAATTTTATTATGCTTTATTACAAATATGCCAACTCTAAATTAATCCAGGATAGAGTTAATTATTTGGAGATTAAACATGGTAAAAATTAATAATAGGCAATTCATATGTTAAAAATTGAAATAACTAATCCTGATATATATATTCTGTATAGCAGAAAGAGTATTTTTAATGGAAGTACATAATACTAACATCTATCAAATATATGAAACATATAACAAATGACGTCTACCTCATCTTGGAAATATTCTTTCCTCTTGTCAATCAGAAGTGTAGAATATTAATTTGAATGTTGGAATCCAAGCAAAAAAGAAGAAATTATAAAGTAGAGAAAAAGGATAACGTTTCTATTTTGCAGAATGTTATAGAGGAAGAAACAAGCTGTTTGAAAAAAATTTTCTTTTATACTCTTTCTGATTTCAAGTAGATTGAAAAAGTGAAAGAATGATATCTTCCTTTGAAAGCCATGATGAGATTTGGTTCCATTAGCAATGGTTAGAGAAATGCTGCTAAACAAGAAATAAATTTATTTGAAGTGTTAGAATGAAAGATGTAACAGATATCTACGATTCCTCTTTTCTGATAATAGACCCAGATTTTCCTTTCAGGAATTTTCTCTCACTTGTTGCCCATGTGATTCAAATGTTCTGAATCAGGGCCTGTTAGCTCTTTCTAGCCCTAGGTGGTATAGTAAAGATCAGGCTTGAATGATCACTATATTCTGAATTCCTGACCGCAGTCACTGGTACAGGTTGAGCTCATGATCCAAGCAGTCTTGGTCAATGTTATGCCAGACTTCAGTTGGAACTCTTGAAACAAAGTATGCATTTTAGTGGAGTCGATTGACTTGGTACAATGTAAAACTGTGGTTGCCAG